GTCCTCCACAACTAGACTGAAGAACAAAAAGACAGCAACTTGTCTGTTCCCTTCCCTCAATTCCCCAGCGCTGTTCCCATCCCCCAATTCCCCAATAAAACTCTTAAAAAAAAAAAAAGTTTAGCAACATCATTGCAACAAGTGTGTGAACTTATTTGTCAGATGTTCTATACTGGGGAACAAGATTTCAAATGCTTCCTCCTGCACACTGATTTTTAAAAATATTTTCTCCTCAGCTTTATGGGTTGTCCTTCATACTTATTAGGGTATAGTTGTTCCTAAGGCTTTGAAATTTTATTTATTTTTACATTTAACTTTGGAAATTTTCAAATAAATACAAAAGCAGAGAGAGTAACTCCATGATATCCATCATCCACTTCCAAGGTTACCAACATGCTGACACTGTTCCACATCCCTCCCACCACTTTTTTTCTTCTTCTGGATTATTTAAAAACAAATCCCAGACATCATAAACACTTCTCCTTAAATGTTTTTATCAGAACAAGTGAGTCCTTTAAAAAGAAATATTACTATATAAGTAACACATATGGCACAATTAACAGTAATTCATTAATAGCTTTCAATACTTGTCTGTCTTTAGTTAACTTCACTTGTTTCAAAAATGTCTTCATGGGTAGCTTGTTCAAGTCAGAATCCAAACAAGGTTATTATTTTTAAAAATCTCTGTTGTAGCTATAGTTATTTCCCCTTTTTTATTCTGGATTTTTTTTTCGTATCACTTCTCATTTTCTTGATTAGCCTTGCTAGAGATCTACCAGCTTTGGTATTGTGGTATTGTTCTCATTTTCTTTTTTTTTTTTAAATCATTTCCGTTTTGTTTTTTTTTTTGAAGGCTGAGAGGAGGTTTAATGAGCCAAGCCCAGGCCTGTCAGTGGGAAACCTTCTTCACCTTCTCTTTTTTCACCTTGGGCTTCTTGACCTTTTTCGGGGTGCTTCCGTGCATCCCTGAGCCTGCAGAGTGGGGCTTCGCCTCCATGTCAGAGTTGCTGGAGCTGCTGCTGCTGTCAGAGTCCGAGGAGCTGCCGTGGCTGTGGCTGTGCTGGCCTGCCCCCTTAGGCTTCTTGGAGGTGGGCTCCAGGGCTGCGGAGAGAAGTTGGGTTGATTGGCGCAGGGAATGTCCCCTGTACCTTAAGTTCAGTGCTGCCAGAGCTCATTTATATTTGTTTTTTAAAGATTTTTATTGGGGAATTGGTGGACGGGAACAGCGCTGGGGAATTGGGGGAAGAGGAACAGACAAGTTGTTGTCCTTTGGTTCTTCAGTCTAGTTGTGGAGGACGTTGCTTCACTGGCCCAAGTTGCACCATCATTGCGCTCTTCCTGGGCGAGGCAGATCAGTTGCCGGCTTCTGGACGACCGCTCACTGCAGCTGCTGGCCGCTCACGCTGGCTGCTGGCTACATACGGTAGCCTATGNGCTTGTTCAAGTCAGAATCCAAACAAGGTTATTATTTTTAAAAATCTCTGTTGTAGCTATAGTTATTTCCCCTTTTTTATTCTGGATTTTTTTTTTGTATCACTTCTTTTTTCTTTTTTAAAGATTTTTATTGGGGAATTGGGGGGATGGGAACAGTGTTGAGGATTTGTGGAAGGGAACCAGCCAAGTTGTTCTGTCTTTGTTGTGGAGGGCACAAGTCGCCATCTGGCTGCCTGTCGGCAGCTCTTGGCCTCTAAGCTCAAGGTGCTGTGTTCAGTCTTAGTTGCAGGTGGCATAGCTACCATCAAACAGGCAATCTTGTTGTTACACCAGGTGAGCCATCCTGCCACCTGTTGGCAGCTCAGCGACAGCTCAGCTCAGGCACAGCGTCACTAACCCATGTGGGAATTGAACCGGCAGCCCTGTTGCTCAGAGCTCACGCTCTTAAGCCAACTCTTATCAACTGAGCCACTAGGCTGGCCCTGTTTCTGATTTCTGACTTCACCCTGTTGTGGTCAGAGAAGATACTTTGTATATCAGCTATCTTTCACATCTCTTCAGACTCTTTTTGTGGCTTCACATGTGGTCTGTCCTGGAGAATGTCCCATATGCACTTGAGAAGAATGTGTGGCATCGTAGCCTGAGACCCAGGTGTGTGTGATATCCATGCTCCGGAGGCCGCCAGGGCTGCCTCCATGGCCCACTAGCGAGCGGGTTGGCGTTTGTGCGTGGCGTTTGTGTGCACTAGTGTAGTGTTTGTTTCTCCTGATGCGCTGGGTGGGGCTTGCTGTGTTAATTGTGGTTTCCTCTTTGCAGTTTTGCCAGTATCAGGGAGGATTTGGACCGTACGCAGGAGAAGCTGGCTGAGTCGTGGAAGTACAGCTCCGACATGGACAGTGACCCCATGTCAGGGTAAGTAAAACCGGCACGCTGGGTGCATCTTCCTGGCAGAGGTGACCAGGGGGCTCAGGTGGGCTAGGGTGAGGGCTGTGGGGACTGGGAAGGCACAGAGTCATTAGGGTGGGGCCCCAAGGAAGTTGTCACCATATCTGACCACCGAGACCCTTGATCCTTATGCTGGGAATTTGTGTCCTTATCGTTGTGCTGGGTGCTGGCAATGGGGGTGACTGTGGTTGGGGATTGACATTTGAAAGGTCAAGGGTGGGGGTTCATATTGACCTAAGTGAGGGGGTAGGCATGGGTGACTGATGGGTGTAGGAAAGTCGGAGTGACAGTGATGGGGCGATGGTGGCAGGAATGAGGTGATGGGGGCTATAGTGCTGAGTGAGTGGTGGTGGGGATAGGGTGATGTTGATGGGGGTGTTTGGAGCATGTATGGTGATGGGATGACAGGCATATATGGTGATGGGAAGCAGTTGTGGTAAGATGGTGGTGATGGGGTAATGGTGGCAGGGAGATGTGATAGGGATATTGGTGGTGGGTACAAGGTGATGGGGTAATGGGGGCAATGGTGGCAGTGATAGGGGCTATGGTAAAGCCGGGTGCATGGTGATGGGGTGATAATTGTGGGGCAAAGCTATTGAGACAACTGATGATGCATAGTACCTGTGTCAGGTTTGTGGGTCGTGGTTACTGTGTCAGGGCCTTCCTATTGGGGCCAAGGAACAACCCAATCTCCCAAACTCCTATCCTCTTGGCCAGGTTCCTTCCCCGTCTTATTGCCACCATAACAAGTCTCATGACTCCACATTTCATGTGGATGGAATGGGTGTGCAGCCACTCGTGTGTATTTTCCTGGTGGAGTCTGTTCCCCACGCTGTCTGTCCCTTCCCTGGTGGGTGTAGAAGCCCCTTTCGGGAGAAGATCTGCCCAGACCTGGTTGACCTTTTGGGGGAAGAGACTTTGGGCTCTGGGCCGGCATGGGTGTCCCCATCCTATCCTGTAAGCCTGGGCGGGTGTGGGGCCTCCCTGGCCGCAGTGGAATTGAGGCTGGGCTCCTGAGAGTGCCGGGGGGGCAGGACGTGCAGCCTGGGTCCCCTCGGTGCCTGGTCTCCCAGCTGAGCCTGCCCCCTCAGCTGATGGAGACTGAGGTTTCAAAGCACCCCTCCCTCCACGTCCAGGGAGCACCTCTCCTTTGCCAAGGCCCAGAACTGTGGGCTTTCAGATGGCCTCAGGGGCGTCTGATGTCCAGCCAGTGTAGGCCTGCCTGTAGGCAGCCCAGGAGTGGCCCTCATCCTGAGGACAGTGAGCACCACGGAGGGCTCTGGGCAGTGCTGGGGTCCAAGTGGTGTTTTAGGAAGACGACCTCTGGCTGCTCCGTGGAGCATGAGAAGAGCAGGCAGGGAGGGTGTGGCAGGTGGTCACAGAAGGCAGCCATGGCTTCTTGGTCCCACATGCTGGAGGCCAGAGGCACACTGTGCTTGGCGGAGTCAGGTGAGGCTGGAGACCAGGCATTCAGTAGCTGCCTGCTAGGAAGGGAGCTGAGGGAGTGGCAAGGGGCCGGGGGTGTCCTGGTCTCTGCGGTTTGGGGTGAAGGGCTTGGTTTGGGTGGGATGAGTGTTTTGAGGACCGAGTCTGAGGGTCAACAACCATTGAGGACTGGCGGCAGGGACTTGAGAGGGAGGAGACATGAAGGCGGCCTGGACTGTACTGAGAACTGTGGATTCCACACCAAGGGCACCAAGGCCATGGTGCCCTTGGCAGGAGCTGTCCAGTAGAGCCGGTTGAAGAGTGAGTTGGAAGTGTGTGCAGTGAGGTGAGCGTAGACAGCTCCGTGGAGACTTCGCTGTGAACGGATGAGAAGTAAGACAGGAGTTGGAGGAGGAATCAGGATAAAGAAGGCTTCTTTTGCAATGGTGGGGACTTGAGCTGGGAAAGTGGAGAGAGAGGGTACAGTGCCGATGGGGCATTAGGAGGAGGAGTGGCTTCCCGGACTGTGGCAGCAGGGAGGTGACTGGGTCCCCTCTCCCTCCTCAAGGCGTGTTCCCAGAAGCAGGCCTGGTCAGCCTGACTGCACACCATGGAGCCTTGCGGGCGCGCCCTGCAGCCTCCCTGCCCTGTTTTGTCTCCCACACCTCCCACCCAGGCTGTCTTGCCCACCCACAGGGAAGCGTAGATGACGGAAGTAGTGGTCCCCTCCTATTTGCCCCCCCCACCTCGCCCTGCCCATCTATGTTTTCTGAGCAGAGCCCCAGTGGTTCCCACAGCACCCGCCTTATGAAGGTTTAGGGCTTGGGGAGCAGGTGCTAGGAGGGTAGAGGGACAGGGTTGTCAATGACACTTCTGTGAATGCCCTTACGTAGCTGCCTGTCTGGGCCCCAGGGCGATGTCCTGTGGGTGAGCATCTGTGCGCTGCCCCCTCTGCCAAGGGCACTATTGTTTGCCCACTGGATTGTTGGCCACTGGATTGTTGGATTGTTGGATGGTGGGGTGCAGCCCCTGCTGCCTGGGTCGCAGCTAGAAGCTCCAGGGACCTGCGCCAGCTCCACCTGCACTCCCTGCTACCAACTTCCTCCTCCTCTTCCTTCTTGGATCCTTGCCCTCAGCGCTCCTTCGGGGCAACTCCTTGGGTTCCCCAAGAACAAGGCACTAGGTCAGATCGCAGGGATCCACAGGAGCCCACATCTGCCTGGCTTGGCCGGGACGGGTGGTGTCTGTGGCATGGGCACTGCACTTCCCATAGTGAAGCCATGTTAGCTGTGGGCTCAGGGCTGGCTCAGGGCTTCTGCACTCTCCCCTCCCCCACAGCCTCGGCAGGTGAGTCCCATCCTGCTCAGGTGAACAGTTAGTGGCTGTGTGCGTGCTTTGCTCCTTCCCTCCCCAGAGCTTCTGTGGTCCCTTGTCATCACTCTTTAGATCCTGATTTCATTGTCCCTTCTCAGCTCTTTGGCCCTCACAGGATGGTTGGGCAAGATTGGTGTGGTTTTAGGCACTTGAGTGGTAGAAACTCTGGCTATGGGCCCCAGGCGGCCATGCTGACCTGCCCCGACTCCACTGTGACGGTGCAGGGAAAACGGCTGGGGGTCTGTTAGGTGAGGTGTGGGCGCGGTGAACCTGTGCTGGCTCCCAGCCCTCATGGCATCCCTTCTGTGGCTCTCACACGTCCTGTGTCATGGCCAGCCTACTGCCTTGTCAGCATTACGGTGAGAGTTAGTGTCCCTGCTCTAGAGACGGCCCTTTCACAGTCTGAACGTTGGGAGTCTCAGCCTCCTGGGGACCACCCAATTCTGCCTTCTGAAGTTGGCCTTTAGACTCCTTCATCTGGGAGGTAGCCCCAGCCTTGGGAAGCCGCATTCCTCTCAGAGCATGGTTCTATCAGTACCATGACCTATTGTGGCCACGGGTCCCTGCCACACTGCAACCATCCCTGACATATTGTGCTTCCTCAGAGCATCATGCCTGGTAGTCCTACTAGGTGCTGCCACGGGGGCCCTGAGTAAATTTATTCATTTGTCAGAGATTTACTAAGCACCTACTATATGCCAGGTGCTGGGGATACAGCGATGGCCCAAAGCAGGTATAGTCTATGCCTCCATGAAGCCACAAGCTGGAGGCTAGATGCACGTTAACCAAATGCTCGCACAAAGGAGTGAGTGTTTATAAACTGAGGTAGACAGGAATTTGATTCTGTAAAAGCATATATCCAGAAGCCCACCTTCACCTGCATGGTCAGGGACGGTGTCCCTGAGGAAGTGATGTTTTGAGCTGCAGGCTGACCAAGAATTAATGTGGGGATGGGAGGAAGACAAGGGTGGACCAGGCCGGAGGAACTGCATGTGCAAAGGCCCTGAGGTAGGACACAGCCTGGTGCTTTCAGAAGCTGAAAGGAGGGTGATGTGACTGCAGTACAGAGGGAGACTGGGAGTCCTAGCCACACAGGAGTTTTATTTTATTTAGACTTTTAACTAAAAACAAAAACTTGCCTTATTGTAAGTTTTACTATCTGGTGAGACAACTAGATTTTTCTTCTTGTTTTTCTTGTGAACTCTAATAAATATACAGGAAAGTACACACACACACACACACACACACACACACACACACAATGTAACAAATAAATTATAAAGTGAATTCCTGAGTGATCCCAAGAACTACAAGAACCATAGTAGGCTTTTGAGCAGGGAGTGACATGATCAGACCTGGCAGGGTGGCAGATGGGCCCCGGGGTCCTAATGGTGGGCCTAGGTAGCTGAAGGTGCCCATCAAGGAGGATGGCTGGAACGGGCTGAGCAGGAGTGATTCTGGCACGCTGAGGCTGGGTGTCTCTCTCACCCGGTGGTGGCGCTGTAAGACATCCTGAGCGCCTGGCTTCTTCCCCACTCCTGGCCCCTCCCTACTGATCACACAGCTGGGAACAGTTGGGACACCTGGTGCACTGTGTCTTTAAGAGGGTACCCTGTCTGTCCTTCCTGCCTCTGACGTCAGGATAGGGGAGGGCCTAGGAGATTTGCTTTCCTTTTCTCTGAAAGGGGAGGAGATTGAAACTGAGTGGCCCATGATGGAAAGAGGGAAGTCGGGGGCACAGGACTCAGTGTGAAAGTGGAGGCTAACATGGGGTGAGCTTGGGCGCCATGCTGTGTGCGTGCATGTGTGTGTGTGTGTGTGTAAGAGTGAGGGAGAGAAAGGGAGAGTGGGAGAGATTAAAGATGATGGCACTGTCATTGATCATCCCTGAATGTGTGTGTTTCTCCATTCCCTGGGTCAGCAGAGGGCCGGGGAGGAGCTTGTGGGTGATGGGGCAGATGAGGGCTCCTTTCTTGGGCAAAAAGGCACTTCCTGACTCTGACAGCCCTGTCTTGGGGCCTTGTTCTGGGCCACACAGCAGCCAGTGGCTCCTGCTTTGCAAATGCTGTTGGGTACTTTTGAGTCTGGAGTGTGAAGCGCCTGTCCTCCTTCTGTCCCTAGGCTGTGGTGCAGGGCTCTGCTGAGATGGTGCTGCCTGTCTAGGCTCTGAAGTGGAAGCCACCACAGCCCTCCCCTAGGCCTCAGGAGGCAGATACCCTACAGCTCACCAGGCTCCTTCGATGGTTTAACGGGCTTGGTGCAGTTGCTAAGCATTTGCCTTTTATTAGAATAGAGCTTGGCCTCTGGGAACAGGAGAGCTTAGCACAGGTTCTGTCTGCCCTTGAAAGTCAGTTTGGGTGAACTTCTGGCCCAGGGCCTGCTTTCTCAAAGAGCAGGTCCTCCACCATCATGATCCTTGCTGAGGGGCCTGGGTCAGACTGGGAGGCCTCCTCTTCCAGAAGTCAGGGCCACCTCCAGCCCCTCCATGTCATTCACCTGTCTCTTACTTGACCCACCTGTGAAGCCCAGACAGAGGTGCATGTGAATAGCTGGCTCGGTGTCACGTCGGGGACAACCCTGCCAGGGGCTACGAGCCGGCCAGTGCAGAGGCTGCGTTCGCTGCTTTCCTCTCCTCTCTGTTCTGGCCACACTGGTCTCTGCTGTCCTGGAACTTCTCCCCATCTTCGTCCCCTGTGCTTCCTGAGTCATTTTACCTCCAGCACCTGCCTCCTCAGTGGCCTGTGGGCTCCCAGAGGCCACAAGTTGGTCCGTCTCACTCATCGCTGAGTTTTTGGCTTAGACCACAGAGCCGGGCTTGTGGCACTTGGCTTGGCAACCATCTGCTGATCGGCTGGTGGGGTGGACAAGATGTGTGTATGGTGGGAGGCACAGAAGAACTCCCTCCCATGCTCCTGAGGGTGGGGCGAGGGGGCAGACCCGGGGTGGGGTGCTTTACATAGACTCACAACCCCCTTTTATGCACGAGGAAACCGAGACTGAAACAGGTTCAAACTACACACCCCGGAAGTGGCTGTATCTGTGTTGCGTGGTCTCCTGTGTCAAGAGGGGTGCCCCCTGGCGTGGGTGGGTTGTGGAGGCTGGTCCTGGGGAGCGGTGGGGGCCTTGGGTCATGACCGGCTCTTTAGCAGGTTCGGGGCGACGGTAGCCATCGGCCTGACCATCTTTGTGCTCTTTGTTGTCACCATCATCGTCTGCTTCACTTGTTCCTGCTGCTGTCTGTACAAGATGTGCCGCCGACCACGCCGTAAGCATGCCCTGTGGGCCCTTGTGCGCAGACCCCGGGGTGGCAAGGGGAGCTGATGGGGACCCTGATTTGGCTAAGCCCGGGGGGAGGGGCACGCCTGAGGGTCCTGACTGGGATTCTCTTTACAGCGGTCGTGACCACCACCACTTCCACCACCGTGGTGCACGCCCCTTACCCTCAGCCTCCAAGTGTGCCGCCCAGCTACCCTGGGCCATCATACCAGGGCTACCAGCCCATGCCCCCCCAGCCAGGGATGGCAGTAGCACCCTACCCGACACAATACCCACCACCCTACCCGGCCCAGCCCATGGGCCCGCCAGCCTACCATGAGACATTGTCTGGTGAGTACCATACCACTGCCAACTGTGACCCTGCCTAACCCCAAAGACCCTGCCTGCCCACAGCCAACCAGTGTCCTCTCTATTTTCAGGAGGTGCCGCCATGCCCTACTCTGCCAGCCAGCCTCCTTATAACCCAGCCTACATGGAGCCCCCGAAGGCTGCCCACTGAGAATGCCCCTGCATTTTTGGCTGCCACTTGACACGTCTGTGTGTGTATGGATGTGTGCATGGGTATGCAGGCACGGCCCTTCTCTCCCGTGCAGGATGTGTGTGTGTCCTGTTTGTACATAAGGCTTCTTGTGATGCTGACAAGGTGGGGGACAACCCCTGCCGGACTTACTGGGACCATACTTTTGTTCTCTTCTTCACTTGAAATTATGCTGCCTTGAAATCTCAAGCAAAATTAAAAGAATGAGGTGGGAGTTCTTTTCCAAACCACCCCCGGGAGACCAGGTGGAGCTTGTCACCTTAGGATAGCACAGCTTTTTTCTGGGTAAGATGCACACGTGTTCCGGTTTCAGCAGAATGGCTAGCCACTGCTTGACACCATGGCTTGTCCCCAGGGCGTGTGCTTCCCTTTGAAGAACCAGAGCTGTGATTCAGGCAGGTAGGTGAGACTTGGGACCTGGCTGGGTTGGGTTTTGATCCCATAGCTCCCTGGAGCCTGGGCCCTGCCCAGTGGAGGGTGGGCAGCCTCCTGATTTCGAAAGGCCTAAGGCAGAGCCCCACCCGCCCTGACAGCTGTCTACCTGGACTGTTCCTATAACCTCCTGGGACCACCTGGAGGGCCACATCCACCCACGGTTCTGGCTGCCCTGGCTGGCCCCAGCCCCGGCCCGAGGTGGGCAGGGTGCCTTCTGTCCACCTACACTCAGATGTCCTCCTTGCAGTGTTGTTTTACTTTTAGACAAACATTTGGCCTGTTTTCTGTTTCAAAATGTGATAGTTGCTGTAAGTCTGAAACCCCTGGGTCCTGGAGGGAAATTGGCCAGAGAGGAGGGGGACCCCCTGACCTCTGATAGTCCCTGTTTCCCCCATACCAGCCTCACAGAATATCCAGCTCCTGTACCCTAGTCCACAGTGTGCCCTGGCAGTGGGGACAGGTGGGCCAACGGACTGTCTGGACCAAAGGGACCACAGGTGGAGGGGAGCCTTGGGTGGCTGTTGGCCCAGACATGAATACCTCGGTGTTCCCCGTCCCTCTGTTTCTGTCTCATCATATCTGTCTCAGCTTTGTGCCTGTTGATATGTTTCTGAGAGTCTGGGGTCTGCACCCTTGTTTATAATAAATGCAGACATTTGGAGTTGCTGCCCCCTTTCTTCAGAGCCTTGGCTGTAGGCATTGGGTAGTAGGCAGGGACCATTTCCATCCAACACTTGGATTTCCATGTTTTCCCTACTTGTTTCGGGCTCAGACGTCTATCTTGCTAGGGAGGGTGAGGGACAAATACTGCGCCACCCCCAATGCCCCTCTCCCTGGCCCCCGAGTGCAGGCAGAGGTCAGGAGGCTCTAAGGCTGCCAAGGAAGGTGGAGGCAAAGGACCACAGTGCCGTGGGGGTCTTTATTCGTCAGACTTCCTTTCTCGGCCTATTGCCCAGGTGTGGCCAGGGAAAACCCATACAGTGTGGCTAATGCCATGGTCAGGAAGGCCAGCACGCCCAGTGGGGCCAGCAGTCCCTCCCTGGGTGAAGCTTCAGGGCCCTTCACTGGAGGAAGGACCTTGGGCCTCCTGCTCCCCCCGAGGTTGGGACTGGTGTCTCTGCCTGTGGCCAGGAGTGCACTGGCTGTGGCAGCAGGTGGCCTTGAGTTGGTTCCAGTAAAGGCTGTGACCCTGTACATTGGCTTGACGGTGCTGAAGGGCCTGGCGTGAGCATCCACCCACCGCAGCAGGGCCCGTGGCCTCCACTGACAGATGCTGAGCAGGGCTAGGACGTCACCCTCGGCCGTGTGCGAGTCCGGCGGGACCTGCCCATACAGGCGCGTGTAGATGCTGCCCAGGCTGTAGCTCCTCCTCGGGCCATGCTCCGGCGGGCTGCCAGTCTGCTCCAATGCCTTCAGGGCAGCGATGCTGTCCACACAGAAGGCGTCATCCAGAGCCCTGGCGAGGCCCAGCATGGCCAGCTCTGTCTGCAGCAAGGGGAAGTCGTAGCGGTCACCGTTGTGTGCCACGAGGCACCAGGGCTGTGGCTGGCGCTGCAGGAAGGCTCGGAGCAGGTTGACCAGGTCCGCATCTAAGCGTTGACGCCCGTGCTCTGCCAGCATAGCTGTGCTGAGGCCCGTGATCTCGCTGGCTGCGGGGCTACAGGCCTTCCCTGGGGCCACACATAGGGAGAGCTTGTCCACTACTCGGGGTGGCAGGGGCACCGTGGGAGGAGGCCCCTGAGGGCTGGGAGGGCTCTCCAGGGCACATCTGTGGACAGCCAGCAGGCACAGCTCTGTGATCTTGGGCTGGGAGAAGGGCAGTCCAGTGGCCTCCAGGTCCAAGAAGATGAGGGTCTGCATGGGCCTCAGGGGCAGGGCCTGCGAGTCCATGGTGGGTCCGCGGAGCCTGGGGAGGAGCACAGGGTGGGGAGTAGGTGTGAGTGCCCCAGTGGTAAGATGAGGGGAGGGGAGGAGAGGAGGGTGGGCAGGAGCACATCTCTGGCTCTCCCTGCACAGGCAGGCCCTGTTGAGAACTCCAGGACCCATTTTCAAGGCAGGAAGCGAGAGAGGGTGGGATGCCTTCCTTAGTGGGATCAGCACATTCAACTGTCCCGGGGTTTGGTTTCTCCCTGAGTGCCCGCTTAGCCTGGGGCCAGGCGGGTGGAACCCATGGCCTTCCCACCCTGTCCCAGGCCCTTGGGTGTCCTCACTTACCAAGCAGCAGGCAGGCAGGCAGCAATGACTCCGGGTGCACCCTGGCTGGTTCTTGCTGTTGGCTGCAGTGGCGGGAAGTGAAACTTAGCCTGAGCCCGCCCACTGGGCTGGTGTGAGCAAGGCCCGCCCTGCTTGTCAGCTTGCCTCCCTCCCCAGCCCTCCCCACCACCCGTGACTCCCCAAAGGCCGCCTCAGATGTACTGCTGTGGGCCTGCTGGCTGGCACAGTGCACCAGGGCCCTCACACCAGCAAGATAGCCAGTCAGGACACTGGCTGTGGTGCCCAGGTTACTGGAGAAAACCAGCTCCAGGACTCTAGCCTGTCAGGAGCCCCTGCCGTGGCCATTTTGCACCCACCCCTGAGCCCCACTTCCCCAGGCCTCCCTGGTTTAGGCCTGGGCCGAGGGCTGCCTCCCTTTTTGTCGTAGGTTTTCTTCCCATGGCCTCTGCCCAAAGCGATGACTCAGGACAATTCCACAGGCAGGGCAGGGCTCCTTCCTCTAGGCAGATTCGTTACCATGGGGACCTGTCTCCGCTCCAGCCATGACAGGAAGATGGATCCCAGCCGTCCCTGCGTCGTTCTTGCTCCATCCCGCCCACTCCGCCAACAAAGATCAGACAGGAAACACAACAAGGCTGGCAAGTTCTCAAATAGCAGTCACTGCTTTTAATCAGTTGATGAGGTGAGGAAAACAGTGGTGCTGGTGCCACCATGTGGCTCCATGCTCACAGCCTCAGCCACAGTCCATCTCCGGGTCGTCCACATCGGTCTCGGTGGCGCAGAGGTCATCCAGGGCAGCCTCTGTGCGAGACAGAGGAGGGTTCTGTGGTGAAGGTCCCGCCTCTCCTCCCCCCACCCCACGGGAACTAACTAGACCCTTCCATGCCCAGGCCTTGCTCCCTCGGCTACTGCAAGCAAAGTGATACAAAGGCAATTCAGACAGGGATGTTTCCGGAAAAATCGTGGCTCTGCCAGGCCAACTCAACAGATACAAGCAAAAGACAGCCTGATGTGCTAGAGGAGAACCGGAGCAGGAAGCTAAGAATGACCCCAGTGCCGGGAAAGGCCATGGTGGATGGAGGGCTGCTGACAAGGCCAGGAAGTCTGACTCATCCATGAACTTCAGGGAAAACCCCACAGGGAGGGGTCCTCCTGCCAACTCACCTTCACAGTCTGTCACGTCGGGGAGCCCTCGAATCAGCACGCTGACCCCCAGCATCACCTGGTCGTACTGGTGCAGGGCCTCCACGCAGTGCACTGTGAACAGCGTGTCCTTCTGGGACAGGCCATGCAGCAGTAGGATCGTGTCGCGCAGACACCGCACTGTCCGCCTCTGCTGCTCGGTCCTGGGGGGGCCCCCTGCCCTCCGTACTGTCAGCCACTGTCGGTGCAGCATTGCTGTGAGTGCTCTGACCACCTGGGGATGCAGACTGAGGTCAGGCCTGCAGGTCCTGCACCCTAACAACTTGCTCGGCTGGGCAGCAGCTTCCCTGGCCCCCCAGGTGAGGAGGGTGCTGAGTGGTAGCACCATGGGGTCCTTGCACAGGGCCACCTCACCCACCAGCAGAGGTGCCCCCCTCTTGCCCCCTGCCTGCCCCAGGGCACTCACCTCCACGTTGCACTGGCAGTCGGAGCCAGTGACAGGGGAGGAGGGGCTCTGCACACCAAGCTTAGCCAGGAGCCACACGGCCTAGAACAAGAGCAGGCTGTTCCATCCGGGGCAGAACGAGACCCTGACACATCACAGCAAGGCCTTTCTCAGGCTTCTACAAGAGCTCCAGTTGCCTTAGCAACTGCTTGTCTGCACAAATAAGGTCCTTCCCAGACCAAACTCAGGACCAACACCCCGTTTCTCACCAACAACCCATGTGCCTTCAGGCCCACCTCCAGCTACCAGGCTCCAAGGCCAGGGTAGGACCACTTATCAGGCAACCCTGCCAAGTGCTAGGATACCCAGGGCTCCACTGTTTTGCATTTATGTGGTGTGAAGCCCCCCCAGATGAGTTTACCTTGTTAGTGGCTAGATAAGCTACCAAAATGAGTTAAAGCTTCCTCTCTCCAGAGGAAGGAGAGAAAATGGCTCTTGGGGTGGGGTGGGGAGGGGAAGTCCACACAAGGGGCTCTGGCAGTTTTACCTCTTGCTCTAGTTGAAGCCACTGTGTGTCCGAGGCCACTTTGTCAGGTCTTGATGTGATGTACGTGTACAGCAACAGGAGGAGGCAGCCCTCTGAAAAGAATGCCCCACCTCTCACTCATGGTCACCCTTCTCACCCAGAGCCAGTACAAGCTGCAGAAGCCCCCAGGAGGCCCATCCCTGCTACCACCCTGCCCTCTACCCTGCAGGAGCCCAGACGCCCGCCCCCTGCCCAGCTTTACCCGAGTGGGAGCAGAGCTGAGGTGCGAGCTTCTCGTGGTCCACCAGGAGGGAGAGGAGCCCAACAGTCAGCAGCACGCTGGGCAGGGGTGTCTCTGGGCTGAGGCACTGTGGCAGCACCGGGAACACACACTGGAACCTAGAACACAAGGGCCCAGAGGGATGTGACACTTCCAACCCAGTCCCACGATTCACCCTCACTTTTCACTGGAGAACAGGAAACTCAAGCCAACCAGTACAAAGACGAGATGTGGTTTAGACAGACCTGGGTTCAAGTGCCAGCTGACTACCACCTACTCTCACGCGAATGAACGGGTACTACCCTTCACTGTGGCTTAGAGATAGTGGACCCGGGGTGCCTGGCCTCCACACTGCTCCTAAGCTCTTTCCTGCTTCTGCTCCCAAATAGGGAGGCAGGCCTTGGGAGAGAGAAATGTCCTGTGCCCACCACCAAAGGACTGCCGGGCTCCCAAAGTGATAAACATGGACTTGGTATAGTTGGATCTTATGAGACCACTCGCCACGCAGAGAAGACCATTTTGTCCACTCGTCAGAACAGCAGCTTCTCTGCCGCCAGGTATGAGAAGGTACACCGCTCATGGGTGAGGGGCTCTGGGCACTCTCTCTCAAGTCTCAGGGCAAAGGAACCAAGTCCCAAGACAACCACCGCTGTTTGTCTGACCTATACTGCCTAGTGGGCGGGGCGGAGGCAGCTCTGTGCGCATGTCCTCCTCCGTGCACCTGCAGTGTCTTGCGCACAGTGTCTTGCGCGCATTGAGGGTAAGAATATTCCTCAGTATGCCACTAGGAAGCAAGGTCTCACTATTTGGGGCGAACTCATTTTAGAGCAAATCCCTGTATGGCAGACAGGAAGTTGAAGGTTTTCAGTGGCCAGGAGTGCGGGACTTTGTGGGAAATTGGAATTCAACCTGGTTGTTAGAAGTGGCTCCTAACTAAAGCCCCTGAAACTAAGTGCATGAAGAATCCATCTTCATATACAACACAGCGGTTTCCAAATTGTTTTGATAGCATCAGAGCCTTCTTTTTAAATGCATTTTTTGTAGCGCACCCCACCCCCCCAAAAGCACAATAGGTAAGTCGCCACTAAGTTGGGGATGAGACCTATTTGCCCCAAAGCCCCTGCCATCCTAGTACCTGGGGGACAACCCTATGTCTACAACAGATGCAGTAGAAAGATGAGGGTGAGGGGTGATTTGCCCTCAGACCCGGGTGGACAAGGGTGCCCGTTGAGGCCACAGCCTGCCTGCATTGCATGCTGATTTAGAGCCTTGGTGGCACTCGTTCCTAGCTTTCACACGAAGGTGGACAGGAAGCTGTGCGGTAGAGGGGTTCAGCTTGCAAGTGTGAAGGCATTTTGAAGAGAAGCACAAAGTGGGAGGTGGTATCTGACGTGATCAGGGGCCATGGCTCAGGAGCCTAACTGGTTTGAAACGCATCCAGCATGCTCCCTCTGGGATCTGACTACTTTCCCCTCCCTCAACACAGGGCTTATTCACTCAGCAAACACAGTGCTCAGTGAGCCAGGCTCTGTACTAATGTGAGGATGCAGGGCTCTGAGGGTGTCGCACGAGCTAGGGAATGGAAGGCGTCTGTGTCCGGCCTATGGTAAACACCCATTGAATAGCTGTGTTTTGATGTCCTGTGGAGAAGTTGAACAGGAATGGAATGATGATGTTTCTACCAAGAGAAGTAGTAAAAACGTGGTTCCTGGTATTCATTCATTTAACAAATGTGAAACAAGCAACAAGCCACTGAGCTGGGTCCCGGCCAGGTACCTGGACGATGGTTCGTGCCTACTGTGCTGCCCGCACTATGTGGTACCAGGTCTGGCTCTGATGGACCAGACCAGCTAGAATAGATTCAGATGGAAACCAGGATCTGGAAGTAGTTTTAGAAACAGGTATCTGAACTCAGAGGTGAAAAGTTATGTGCAGTCAGCAAAGTCATTCTGGGACAGGAACTGGCCTCTCTGGCGAAGCAGGGGGGAGGTGGGTTATGACAAGTGTTCATGAGCGAGGTTCACTACCCTGCCACTTCCAGTAAACCTTAAGAGGAGCAAGGAACCTGTGGCTCCTGCCAGAGGTGGGCACAATGACAGGCAGATTCCTAGCAAGGTCAGCTTGTGGGCTGCAGACCCTCCCCACACCCTCCTTTGGGAAACCCACCAAACTTAAACGTGGCTGTGATACGTGGTCTTAACCTGATCCATGTCCCAGGTTCAAAGGCCTCTTGGTACAGCCTTTGTCTGTCCTGGGGACAGGACACTCTTCCATAGTAGCTAACAGCTTTCTTTTATCTCGCGTGTCTTTTGCTTACTTGCTGTACAGAGGCAGAATTAAGCCAAACAAACCACTTCCTTGGTTCTCCCAATACTTAAGAACTCCCTGAACAAAGCCCTAGAACCTAAGCCAAGGTTTAGAACTGTGAACAGTACAGATAAGTCAAGAGATGAACAAAGTACAAGGGCCACAGGGCAGACCTCAAGAGGTCAGGTAAGCCCCACACAGAATCATGATTCTCATGCTGCATTATATTGTACCTGGGCAAGAAATCAAAGGAAGCATTTTCAGCTAATTTCACCAAAACCTTAAGGCACTGGCTGAGGACACTGGCTTGAAGGTGATTTGCTGCTGCAGAAGAGAAAGCCAACAGGCGAAGAAGCATCTTCAATAGTGGATGCTGGCCTTGGTCATCGGCGAGCCCCTCTGGGGCTGGGCTCACATCCCCCTGGGAATCCAGGCTCGGGTTTCCTTCCAGAGCAGAATCCGGCCCTGCTCCTGACAGTAACAGGCAGGTGACTGCTCCACTGTGGCACACCAGGTGCTGGAGAACGCTAAGTGAAGCCACAGAGAAGCCTTCCAGGTGGCAAAGTGAGTCCTCAGGGCTGGTCTCTACCCCAGGGCTCACGTGGGAGGAATGTGTCGGTGTGTCTCCGGGCGCTCCACTTCTCTTAGCTACTGCCAAATCCTGCAAAGCCTGGCAGTGTAAGCCGATGAAGAACTGCACCAGGGGGAGGAGATGCACAGCTCCAGGGAGCTGGCAGAGCGGGAAGGCCCTCCTGCCTCCCTCTGCTGGGTCTCTGTCACATGAGCCTTCATTCCTGGCAATCAGGTTCAGTCCAGTAAGTGCCAGGCTCTGTGCTTCTCTAAGGGCCGAGAGGGGAAATGACCCATCACGAGAAACTGTGGTCCTCAGGCTTGAAATCCCAGTCAAGGAACTAGCAATAAACACAAAAGAAAACACACAGTGTGAGATGGAGATAAGGTCAAGGGCCCCAAACAACCTGCCTGCCAAATTCTCTAGTTTCCCTGCCCAGCACATTGGCCTCCCAGGCTGGCCAAGTTTCCTGGAAACTTCTTCCTAAAAGTTTCTTAGGAGTCTTATGCTTACCTGCCAAACCCCGGTGGCTGCAGCAGGGTGCTGGGAGGGGCCTCAGAACAACTGCTCAGGAGGTGGCACAGACCTAGGGACGACCCTGGGATCAAAGGCTGCTTCAGGAGAAGGTTTATCAAAATGGAACCTGCAGAAAACAAGGTGACTCTAGAAGTTCTGACATGGGAGGCCTTTTCTATGGCCTTAGAAGGAAAAAGTGGGGGCTTCCTTGGATGCCGACTGTCCTCTAAGCTGCCACTAAACCCCATTGAGACAGATGCCTGTGGTGCTGAAGGCTCTGGGACACACCTCCTCTTGGCCCCTTCATTTTATAGTCTTCTGTTTAAGTCACAGCTATGACTTCCCTGGACCCTCTGACCACTGTCCTCAGAGACCCAGGCAATTCTACTGCAGCATCGCAGAGGGCAACCAGAGCCACGCAGGCCTCCTGCATGAGGAGCAGGGATTTTGGTACCTTGAGTGTTTGAGCTCTGCATCCAGCTGTCAACAAGATGTTTTGGGGACTCTTCTTGCTTTCTAGGGGCATCTCCCAGACTTTGGGTCTGATTCTCTGAAACTAGATAAAATGTGAATCAACATGAGCACAAAAGCACAGGCATATCAGAAGCTCTTAGATGAAACAAGTTTAAAATCTCTATTTTGACAAGTAGAACGATCTCTATTGTTCTACTTCTTCAACCTTGGATCAAAACAAGAGCCAGAGCAACTCAAGGGCCCTCACATCTTTTGCCTTCCTCATGTAAAACAGGAACTCGCACAAGGAAAGGAAAGGAAAAGAAATTAAGCTGTCTGCCCGCCCTTCAAAATGAGGCAATAACATAAAAGCAGTAGCCACTAACATTTAGATAGCGCTTATTGTGTTCCAGACGGTTCTAAGAGCTTTACAATGTTAGCTCACTAGGGGTTCCTCACAGCACCCCTACGAAGGGGTGTTATCATTAGCTCTGTTTTATATAGGAAACTGAGGCACAAGGTTAAAGGACTTGTCCAAATGACACAAGCCAGTAAGCAGTGTGACTGGGACTCATGGCCAGGCTGATGGTGGTAGGAGAGTTATAAGATAAACTATTAATAGCACAACACAATCTCAGAGTGAAAACCTACTAATGCTACATTGTCTCTCTCTAGGAAACAGTAGCATTCCATCAGTCTGGACTGGGCTGTACAAGGTCAAGGCTGGGCTATGAAAGGAACACATGTCCCTGGATATTAGCTGTGTTTCTGGCATGTCAGTGGATGCTGACTGTGGAGGTTTTAAAATATGCCTGCAAATTCTTTGACACACTTACTTCCCTGCAAAAAGTGCAGCCTAGATTCCTTCCTTTAAATGTGGCCCAGACTCAGTGACTCACTTCTAACAAACAGAATGTGGCAGAAGAAGTGATGCCATGTGACTTCTGAAGCTAGGCCACAAAAAGGAGAGCTTCTACCTGGCTCTCTCTCTGGGTTCGCTGGCTCTAGAGGAAGCCGGTCACCAGGTTACGAGATCAGCCAAGTAGCCCTGGGGAGAAGCCCACATGTGGAGAGGGATTCTGTTGCCAGCCATTGAGTGAGCCACCTTGAAACAGAGCCTCTAGCCCCAAACAAGCCTTCCGTGATTCCAGCCCCCACACAGACAAACCATCCCCACTGTGTCCTATCAGAATTGCTGACCCACAGAAACCAGAGAAAATAAATACTTGTTGTTTTAAGCCACAAGTTTGGGCAACCTGTTATACAGCAATAGACGATGGATAGACTGACTTACCCTCTCTGCCTACCGGGGGCTTGTATCCTGGCTCTGTCTGGCAGGAGTGGGGAAGGGGCATGTTAGCACTAAAAGACTCCTTTGTAGGGAAAGATGGGTTTCCAAATTGTGGAGAACATGCTTCTGTCTTTATAACCACAGAAGCGTTTTTCCTAGGACTGGAAAAAGTGAACTATGTAAGCACAGTAACAATTCTGTTAAAACCACTTAAAATATCTGGTTATAAAATGTCTAACAAGCTTTAAACTTTTCACATCTAGGTGATTTGATCAAAGCTTTTATCTACTATATATTTATCATTCTTTGTCAAGACAGCAGTGTAAAATTCAAGGCATTTTTATCCATTGAAAAATATCTTTCATTTCCATATTCTTCTAATCACCTAAAAATATTGGTTGTAATTTCATTACTATTTCCGATTCCACCAAAACATCTTTTCACTGGGGAACGACCTTTTTTTAAGTCAGGGATTGCACTAGAAGATTTTCAGTAGAAAGAGGGTCTATTAAAAGGTGCGTTGTGTCTTGCGACACTGAGCCAGCTCCCCAGTGCCAGGGGCTCTGTATTAGAGAAGCAGTCTTAACCCTCTGATCGGATCTGACAAGATGGAGGCCTTTCTGTTAGTGAAGGTGTGAGGATGGATTCCCTCCGCTCTCCTGTCTTACCTGGACTACGCAAAGCAGGAAGAGTTCAATTTCACACCCTGCCCATTAGGAGCAAAGGCTGCAGAATGCTCAATGCCAGAGAAAGGCGCCCTGACGCACACTGTTCAAATTTCAAGGCTGATACTGACACTGGGCCAGACTTTTGTGGCAGGCCAGGGGCAGGACACAGACCACTAACAAGCTCATTACATCTGCAGCAAAGGCGGGGGCTGTTGGACAAAGGTCCCAGGGCAGCAAGTGAAAAAAAATATGCCAAGTAGTTGGGACTGAAATACATACACTATGCTTGGGGCAAAATCAGTTACTCGAAACAAATTTCATAAAAATGAAGACTGGCCCACCCCAAAAGTTTAGGGATGACCTCTACAGCCTTTTCTAGTCCTCAGGAGTTGTATTTATAAAGTCCCATTTGGAGGAAGTACTCTTAGAGTGTGGAGCCTGTATGCTGTGATGGCCCAAACTATTCAAGCCTCATCCAAACCACCTTTGATGCCTTCAGCAAAGAGGACCTAGGGCCAAGCCCAGAGTCTAAATGGCCTTCATTCAGGACTAGCCTGACATTGTTTTTCAGACTTTTTACTAAGCAATACAAAATAGAAGTCTCCCTCCAGCACCATCATTACCTGACGTGAGAAGTAGAGGGAGCAGCTAGTTTATTTGCTCGTTCACTGCTTTGAAGCTTTGTTCTTAATTCATTCATCTCTGCGTCTTTAAACTGGAGTTCAGACTGCAATGATTGGAGCTGGAAGGCAAAAGAAACATACTTGTAGGGGCTGCATCACACATATAAAAACATTTCTGGGCTTCAAAATCTTAAGCTAATGGAAAACCAAGGAAGTCTGCTGTGACATAAATGTCCTAAAATATTGAGCTTTGTCTTTCTTTCTGAAAGACAGTATGGTGTTCTAGAAAGATATTGTGATCCGAACTACTGTGAGGTTCAAAAACCATTTACTCAGGCTCTCTGAACCTTAGCTTACCTGTAACATAAATACCTATCTTCACGGTTGGGGGGATTAAATTAGAATGATGAATGTAAAACGCCCAGCACAGCGGCTGACAAGATGCCGTATCTCCTAGTAGTATGTTGGCTTTTTAATGAACACAGTGATGCACAATTCCAGGTTTTCTTGAAAGTCTGGGCAGAGGATCTGGCGTAGTTTTACCAAAGCCCTGTGCAGTGTGGGGACCTGCCGCCCTGGCCCTTAGGGGTTGTAACCCACAGTAACTGCTGCACTCCCTGAGCGTACCCCATGCCAGCCACAGCACCAGACACAGTAAGTGCAGGGCCTTTTAAGTCTCACAACAGCCCTTCTGGTTATTTCCTGGAACAGATAAGATAAATGAATCAGAGTTTAAGCCATTACTCTGATGTTACCACTTGTGTGTGACAAAACCTGGATTCAAACTCTGGTTTGTCTGACCGCAAATCCCTTACTCTTCATCATGGAAAGACAGCTACCGCTATTAGTGCTGGGCACGTTTGCTTCTGTGACGTTTGCTGAATGAAGACCCCATGTCCTTGAGACTCAAGACTCGGGAGGTGCTGAAGGAAAGTGGTGGTGTACACTGGACACCTACTGTTTTCCTTCCGGAGTGGCATCTCCCCTTACCCCACCCCACCCTGAGAAACACTCATTTCCCTACTTCTGACTATGTGATATGAATGGGAGTTATCATCTGTGTGGTTATGGTGACTGGTTCAAGGACAGGCACCTGACTAGGGTTAGACCAATTTTAAATTTTAAAACCCCCAGAATTTTAAAACTTGATACGGGAGCCCAAGGCTTCAGTCTGCTCTGGAGCTATGAAATACGAGCCCAAGAGCTTTGGGAGAGCTCAGTCTCTTCCATAAGGATGGAGCCTGTCTATGGTACAGAGAACAAAGAGAAGTCCTGGCAATGCCTGAGTCAATGGAAGCCGCAGAACACCCTTTTCCCCAGACTCAGTCATGGAATCCAATACATTACCTTTCGGCCTAAGCTACATCAAATGAGTTTCTGATCTGCCAAAAGAGTCCTAATTTAAACCTGTTTCTGAGAAGTCTAAGCTGGTGAGTTATTCCTGCCAAGACCCACTACCACAGCAAAGCAGTTTCACCTAAGTCCTTTTCCAAACCACGTGCAGAGTCTAAAGAAAAGTACATGCAGTGAGCTGAGAGCAGAAAGTACTTAAGACAAACAACTGTTGAAATCTTCCTGGAAGATTTACAGGCAACTTTGGCCATTGTGTCTAAAGGAACTCAGTGAGCAGGCAAAGCTGGTGTCTATAATGACCAAAACAAATGCTCTGGGTCACCTTTTTGGAGAATTCTTTTTCTTTGTCACTGAGTGCTTGAGTTTTCTCTTGCTCAAGAAGGAAATGTGATCTTCTCTGTTCCTCTAAAATGGATTCAGTCTGATGCAGTGAGTCCCGCAAAATTTTAATTTCTCCATTTTTAATGAGGACTTCTTCTTCCATTGTCTTCATCTGTAAATCCCAAATCAATCTTGTGAAAAGTTTGTAAGGGAAAATTATACATGTAGCTGGTGATATGGAAAAAACCCATGTAAAACAAATCCTACAGACCAGTGAGTGCTCAAAATATATCCATACCAACCAGTCGTCACCTGGCTGCTAGGCTCCTTCATGGGACAGCTGATATTCAGGAAGACAGCTTACTGACACACTTGTCACTCACACATGCAGATTCTATAGGCCCTATAGGTCTTAAACAATCTGGGTCATACGCTTTACAGAACTAAAATTCCACATTATGCTCCTGGTTTACCTAGGGACCCAGGTTGGTCATATGAGGGATGTCGGCTTTTTTGCAAAACTGCTAATGAATAGCAACCATTATGATACTGTATCCTTTATATAAGAAATATGCTATATATTTATCTTGGTGATAAAACAAATTTGTATCTTTTTGGATCTGTACAGTGTTTCCTTTCCTGCCTTGGCTGTTAGGAAGCTCAGGATTTAGTTTCTTTTGGCCTCAATTTTCTGGCTTTCTTTCCCCAGCCTCCCCTTTCCCCCCATTTCATGAGGATGAACCTGGACTCTTGTTTTAAAAGTTTTATATATTTTATTGTACAATGCATGCATAGGTGAATGACTTAGTTATAAAAACCACAAGTTAAGTCACTTACCTTCTCTTTAAGTTCTTTGTATTGTGCTTGAAGTACCTCTAATTCAAAATTAGCTTTAACTGGAACACTTTCTCTGTTTTTCCCTGCAGGATTTTTTGACATTCCATCTAATCTGGGGACCTTATAAACACCTGCAAAAAACAGTTCCCACATACTTTTCAGGACCCCATGTTTCCCACTTTTATCACACAATGCTGAAAAGAATCCCTCTTGAAGGCAAATGAGAGAAAGATCTAGTAAACAATATAGGTATTTTTCTAACCTAATAACATGACTCAAACTCATAAATGATCCTTATGAAATAATAGATCCTGCCACCCTCTCCCCATCCCTCATCCAATCTTAAGAGTCTCATCTAAGGGCTGAAAGGCACTGGGGGAATCCCCCTAGTCAGAACTCAGTGCTCTATATTCAACAATAATTACTGAGCACCTATAATAAGCCAGGCATGATTTAGTCTCAAGGTACAATGGTGAGCAAAATGGATTATCTTTTTGCTTGTGGAGCTTACAGGACATTAAAAAAATCATCACATGTATAAATGTAAAATTACAACAGTGATGAGAGCTGCAGAGAACAAATATAGGAAAGCCTATAATAGGGGAATTTGATCCAACTGAATGACTGGAAGCCTTCCCCTAAGGAAGTGATGATGACTGAGGCCAGAGCTGAAGAACAAGTAGGAATTAACCAGATGAGTGGGGATGGGGAATGGATGGAAAAAACACTCAATTTACAAGAAACAGCAATGTGCAAAGTTTCTGTTTTGTAAAGAAGCAGGAAGAATTCAAGGAATGAAAGGTCAGTGTGGCTAAAACCCAGAGAGGAAAAGGGAGAGTGACAGACCATGTTGGGCCTTGCAGGCCACATAAGGATTTTGATCTTTATACTGGAAATTGTGGGAAGTCATTAAAGGGCTTTCATTAAGGATGTTCATGTGTATCTGAGACACAGCAGATTTGTTTTGAAAAGATCACTCTGGCTGTGGTGGCAAGTCTGATTTGTAGGGACTCAAGACTGGAACTGGGAAGATAATTTAGCAGACTATTGTCCAGGGGAGGGGTGATAGTAACAGATCAGGGAGATGGTAGAGATGATGCAAAGAGGACGGATTCCAAGATAGATTAAGAAGGTTAAGCTACAGGGTTTGGAAAGGAATTTGATGTATAGTCAGGGAAAGGGAGCTGTCGCCTTGTGCCACTTGATGGGGAGTGGTGCTAGTCAGTGTCATGTGGAATATTTGGTCATCAATGGGTGTTTCCTGAATGTCTGCTGTGCCAGGCAACATGCTGAAGATGCTGGAGGATGACGGGTTTCCATGAAATGATGGTGTGGAATTTAAGATGCCTGTGAGACATCCAAGTACAGACGCCAAGTTGCTCTCAAAACCTTTCTCTTTCTGGGAGCTCCACAAGATTTCACTCGTTCTCCAACTAGAATGCAAGCTGCATGAAGGAAGAGGTTTTTGTCTTTTTGCTCATTGCTAAGTGTGCTGCAGTTTCTAAGGTTTGGGCACCTAGTACAATTTATTGGTTATATAAATGAATAAGTTTCCTTCATCTCTTGCCTCTGCCAGACCCCTCTTATGCTCATGAGGCTCAAAGGGGACAGCGGTCTTCATTAGATCTAAGACCTCCCCAAACTGCCACAAGAATGGCTCTCCATGCGAAGGTAGTGATGGTTCTGATGGTGGGCGTTCTAAGCAGGATCTCTGCTTAGAACTAAGAACCTAGTGGCCCTAACTTTAAAAGCTAAAGTAAAATGTTAATCTAGCTTTCTATACTTCAAATCGGCTGTTTGGCATTCCTGATCCACTTCTCCTCAAAATCAAAGAACCTTTTTGGAGCACAACCGCTGCTTAAATCAAGCTGTTCCCATACTTTTAAAAGGTGAAGAGGCGGTGCGGGTGCAAGACACCGGGGCAGCGGTCGCCGTGGGGTTCCGAAGCCACAGCCCCCAAAGGGTGTCTGGCGCAGTCTGCACCACCCTCGGGAAAAAGACCCCTGGGCGCACTCACTGGACGCGTCCCGAGCAGCGGACGGGCATTGGCTCAGGGCCTGTGACGCGAGGGTGTCGAGTTCCTCCAGGTCGTCCGCGGTGAAATCCCCGTGCGGACCAAACGGATCTTCGGGGTCCTGAGCTGCGGCCACGGGGAAGCCCCGGGCCCGCTTGCTCGGAGGATGCCCGATGCTGAGCGGCGGGCCAGCGATGGGTGTTTGGGGCCCGCTCCGCCTCCTGCTGCCCGGCGCGGGGATTCCAGCCATGCCTGCTGCCCGCCAGTGTCTAAAGGAATCGAGGGCGGTCTGGACACCGCAAGGCCGGAGAGCTAGACAAACAGCCCGCGCGCAGCCGCTTGCCTCAGGCGCTGTGGCCACGCCCCCAAGCCCACGGGCCAATCAGCTGCCAACTGGCTGGCGCGGAGCAATGACACACATCTGAGCGCGCCGCCGTGCTCTGCTGACTACCTACCCCTCTTGGTCACGTCCCGCCCCTCTATACTCGCTGCTGTGACTCGGTAGGTCGGCCGCCAGAGCTATGTGCGCCGCTATCCAAGCTAGCAGGAGTGCGGGTTCCGGGCTCACCAGCCCCACCGTGCGGGTGGCTGTGCGCCTCCTCCCTGGTATCTCGTGGGGTACACTGCCGCTCCGGAGGAGTTCGCCATGGCATTCACACGTACGCGTGTGAATGGAGGCAGCCCGCGTTTAGGGGTTTGTTTGGTGTCTGCAACCTCGTTGTCCTCCATCGGACCCACCTCTCACATACTCCAGGTTCTCTTGGGGAGGAGTCCGGGAGAGTGGTGTTGGGCTAAGAGTATGATTAGAACTGTTGTGAGCAGACATGTTTGAGAACAGATGTTTTGAATGTGTGCATTTGAGGTAGGTATGGGAAGAAAGTCTAAGGAAGGGTGATCCTGAAAAGTTGCCTGTGTAACTCTTCAGTCCGTTAACGTTATTCATTCATTCATTTCTCAGAGCACGTGAGTGTTTTTGTCCCAAGTGCTGGTGACATAGAAATGAATGAGGTTCAGGTCAAGGAAGGCCCCCTGGAAGTGGCACCTGGGTTGTCCTACAGGTTGAGTGGGAGTTATCAGAGTGAGCAGGGAGGCTGGCACACAAGAGTGCGCAGACAAACATACAACACCAAAATGGAGCCACACAAGTGCCAGGTAGGAGTTATCTATGGCACGGAGAAGGTAAGGCTTCAGAGGAGCAAGGATTCAAGCTGGGCTCGCGTGCCTGACAGGATTTTATTGGGCAGCAATGGTGTGCAGGACAGTTAACAGGAACAGGGTTTAATGGGAACAGGGTGTTGGAGAGTAACAGGGGCAAGACTTTCATCCTTGCATGCTCAGTGCCACTTAGCCTGTGAATGTCCTGTGAATATTTGTGAAAGCAGTAAATGAAAAGGAGATGGTTGTCAGGGCCCAGAGGGTCTTGAATACCTGAGTCTAGGTGCTTTTAAAAAATTATTTCAGTGATGGTTGACATTCAATGTAATTTTAATTTCAGGTGTACTGAGTTTAGTTTTTTGAGGTAACTGTTACTTTCTTTCAGGTGGTTGCCCAAATACCAAATGCTTGTCTTAATTGCTGCAGGTGTCTGGTCCTGTAGAGAGACAGGGCTGCACTTGATTTGTCAGGAAGGGTTAGGTTTCACTGTCAGGAGCAGTGTGCTGGCCTGCCTCTCAGGGTTGTTCTCAGCAGCACAGGGCTGGGTGCCAGCTGGCAAGGCCCCCTAGGGAATGCCTGAAGTCCATAGATGCTGCTGGCTGTGCGACTTTCCAGGTGAGGATCAAAGCAGGCTTTTGCTCCGCCCCCTCCGCCCGCCCCACCCCACCCCTGACATTAATATCAAGTACATTAGTCTTAAAACAGGCTTCAATCTGTCAAAACGTTTTCCAGTTTTGACTTAGCAAAACCTAACTCTAGAACCCTTTTTGAGAACACATTCTCAAAAGAAAGCACTATTAGCATTATTCCCATAGTTGTATCAAGGGTTCTGGAGGGGAAATCCAGATTTGTGCCTCTAAATTATTTCAATCCATATGCATTTAGCACACATTATCAATGGCCTCTGTCATCCAGGAATTTACTCCTGGAGTCAAGGGTGAAATCAACAAATGTCAGGAGAGGGCCAGCCGAGTGGCGCGTGGGTTAAGAACTGGCTTGGGATGCCAGAGGGCCCCGGTTCGGATCCCACATGTGAGGGCCAGTGACACTGCCCTCTACAGCTAAGATGCTGA